CGCTCCAACCGGCAAGGGGAAAATGCTTTAAAAAGTGAAAAAAAAAAAGTTTGCCACGCCCATCCAGTCACATGACCACCCCCAAGCCACGCCCACAGAACCAGTGGGCAAAAAAATTAGATTTCGCCACTGAAACAAACAGAACATTTTAAGGGTTGGGCATTTCCATTTGGTCTGTCCTAGCAATGCCGCCAGTTTAAAGAAAAAACCAGAAAGAGTAGAATGAAGACGATGTTTAAGGATGAAGAGCAAAGCTAGAAGAGAAACCATTCCAGGGGGGAAAAAGTTCGACACAGCCTCCCTGTTTGGGGGGGAACTGAGCATCATTCGTATAAGGTGTCGACTTCATTCCTGCAGAAAAGCGAATGTTCTCCCGCATCGGGTCGAGTGGTGGGATTCAGCCGGTTCGCACCACTTCGGGAGAACTGGTTGTTAAGTTTCTAAGCAGTTTGGTGAACTGGTTGTTGGAAGAATCCCTTAGGGCAGAGAACCGGTTGTTAAATTATTTGAATCCCACCACTGATCAGGTCCACGCGTTTTAGGAAAAGCTGTTCTCTCTTTCCCCCAACAACTTATAACCCGCGAGACCACGAACAGTCCGAGAGATCCCAAATGGCGAAGGTGGGTGGCCAAGATCAAACGCACGATTCTTCGTCTCCGTGAACGAGATTCCTCTCGCAAGGTTAGTGCCGTCTTGATCCAGTTCAAAGTCCTTTCTTTCCAAGAGTTTCGCCAGCCGGCGTGGTCGTCGATGAGCGACTGTTCGAAAAGATCATCGAAGGATGCAATCTCTGCCGGCTGAAGATAAGGACTGGTTTCTTTGGATTAAGCCCAGATTTCCTTGCAAGGAAGTTTGTTTGTTTCCCTCTGCCTTCTTTGAGAGTCCCATGGGGGGAAAGGTGGCACGCAGCGTCTCCCTTTGGCACACTGGAAAGCAGCGGAGAGGCGTGGGCAAGGCTTCATTTGCACACGTACCTCTCGACAGTCCGCTCACACTTTTTGCAGGTAACGTAGCAGCACCAGTGATACTTGCAGTGGCATCTCTCCACCACCTTGTCCATGTAAGGATTGTAGCCGCGGCCGCAGCACATCAAGTCACAACTGTCGCTTCCATTGGACGTTTTGTTACATTGCCTGGAAAAAGAGGAAACGACAGCCAGTCAGGGTTGACCAAGGCTTTGATAGTGCAACCTTCCAGTCTTTGGGGCAGCAATGAGGGGTTGACACAAAGAAGAGGGGGGTCAACCTATTCTCCCTTTCCCCTTCTCCTTTCTTTGCTTCTTCCCTTTTCCTTTCCCTTCCTCTTTTTCTTTCTCTTCCCCTTCTTTTTCTTCCTCTTTCTCCTTCCCTTCTTTCTTCCCTTTCCTCTTCCTTTCCTTTTACCTTTCCCTTTCTCCTTTCCTTTCCCATCTCCTTCCATCCCTTCTTCCTCTTCTACTTCTTTCTCCTTCCCTTTCCTCTTCCCTTCCTTTTTCTTCCTCTTCTTTTTCTTTCTCCTTCCCTTTCTTCCCTTCCTCCTTCCTTTCCCTTTCTCCTTCCCTTCTTCCCTTCCCTCTTCTCTTCCCTTCCTATTTTTTCCTCTTCCCCTTCTTTTTCTTTCTCCTTCCCTTTCTTCCCTTTCTCCTTCCCTTTCCCATCTCCTTCTCTCCTCTTCTACTTCTTTCTCCTTCCCTTCTCTCTTCCCTTCCCTTCCTATTTTTTCCTCTTCCCCTTCTTTTTCTTTCTCCTTCCCTTTCTTCCCTTCCTCCTTCCTTTCCCTTTCTCCTTCCCTTTCCCATCTCCTCCTCTCCTCTTCTACTTCTTTCTCCTTCCCTTCTTCCTTCCCTCTCCCCTTCCTATTTTTTTCATCTTCCCCTTCTTTCTCCCTCCCTTTCTTTCCTTCCTTCTTCCTTGCCCTTTCTCCTTCCTTTTCCCATCTCCTCCTCTTCTTCTTCTTCCCTTCCCCCTTCCCTTCCTCCAAAACCCTTGCAGCTCTTTCCCAAAACGTACAGCCAAGGGGCTGCTTTGCACAAATCCATCCTTAACGGCCCAATCAAGGCTGGCGAGGAAAATTGCGGGGGGGGGGAGATGCTCTCACCACAGACCCCTCCCCACCAAGAGGAGGAAAGGAATCCAGCAAGATTTATGGGAACAGCCCCCTCCCTCATCGCTCTGGGATTGATGAAGTGCTGAGACCTTATTCCAGGTCTTCCCCGTGTATTATTCCTGATGCTGCTGGGGCCCCCCATTTGTTATTCTAGATCTCAGCTCTCCAGGTTCAAGTCCCGTCTCTCTCCCCACCCCCAGACCCATCCCCTCCCTCTCTTGAGCCCCCTTCCTTTTTTTCAGAGCCAGCCTGGGAAGATGGGTAAATATTTAGAAGTCCCTGGAAAGCGCCTGGAGGTGTGGTTTTTTAAGAAACTCTGTGCCATCCTGAGTCAGCGCCCATAACTTGCGGCCTCCACGTTGTGTGTTTGTCCAGGGATGGGCCCAGAGAAGCATTGTCTGCACGTTGTGAGTGTCAGGATAGCCTGCCCACCTGTCCAGACCCCTCCTCTATCACAACCTCCCAATTGGCAAAGACAAGAAGCAATGACAAAATCACAGAATCGTGGAGCTGGAAGGGACCTTGGAGATCTTCTAGTCCAATGGTCCGTGAGAAATGTTCGGTGGTCCGCGTAAAAATTATTTGCATTTTCTATATTGCACTAAATCAGGGGTCTTCAAACTACGGCCCCCGGGACGGATATGTGCAATAAATGTTTGTGTTGCTGCAGAGAGTCTCCCCTTTTGGGGTCTTTTTGTGGGGGTTGGACGGGGGCAGAAATTACAACTTGGGGTCTGCTTTAGCCTCCTGGTGGGGGGCTTTGGGCGAAGGCTGGAGGGAAGAACCGCTGGTGGCAAAGAGCCGGAGGGCCTCGTTCCAGTGGGACTGCATCATGGCCTGGAACTGGCTGACCATCTCAGCCCGCTGAGCCTCAAGGTGCCGGTACCTGGCCTTGCACTCCCGCAGGTCTTCACTCTGCTTGGAAAGCCTATGCTCCTAGTCCTCAGTGAGGTGCTTCTGCTGAAACCTCCTTCTCGGCCGGATCCAATTTGAACTGAGCCGTTTTGCCAGCTCTTTCTCCCGGTGGATGCTCAGCTCCAGCAACTGCTCCCTGTTGGGGCCCTAAGGAGCCCGGGCGGGAAGGCGAGGGGTGGCGAGTAGAGGCTGGCGAGGGGCTGGGAATGACATCGAATTGGTCACGCCCACCCAGTCACATGACCACCTTGCCACGCCCATCAGGCAGATGGTATTAGTGGTCCGTGGGATTTAAAATGATGAATTTAGTGGTCTCTGAGGTCTGAAAGGTTTGGGGGCCGCTGATTTTGGGGGGCTGGAGGCTAAAGCCTCGGAAGAACGGTTGTAGGAATTGGGTATGTTTAATTTATCTAGACCAGTGTTTCTCAACCTTGGCAACTTGAAGATGTCTGGA